TTTGCTGCTGGTTTGTTGACCCGAGCAAGCTCTGCTCTGAAACTAGTCATTTGGTATGTTTACGAAAACAATTTACTCTTTCTGTGGGGTGGGTCCCTGGTGAAGTAATGGAAGAATATCCTATGAAATAGGCCTAAGTTAAACTTCTGCCATGGTTTGAAAGAAGTGGAACTAGAAGTGTGATCATGAAACACAATTTATATTAATAATGTGTTTTGGTAACATTTGTAATGAAGGTTTTTCGATTAGTTGTGATTCAGACACTTGACCCCAGCTCACAAACAAAAGAGATCCTCTGTAGAGGGCAAAAGTTGGCATTTTTTGCAGACTTAACTCTATTTGCCTAAAAATCCCACTTAATACCACTGTGCGGACAGTTCAATACTTCACTTTGATTTATATTTTGTATGTGTAGTTTGAAGATACCCATAATATTATCTCAGAATAGGCTTCCCGGTTACTGTACTATGATACTATGAGATCATTTGCAAAATCAATAAGCAGGCTCAGAATTAGTGGCTAAGGAATAGAGGGATGGCTGAAGTGCTACAAACAGGAGTCATGTTAGTGTGCCCTTCCTCCCAGCTGATTGGACTGAAAAACTTCTTAAGATGTTCTGCTTTTGGAACTTGTAGGTTATATATATATATAGTGTGTATATATATATATACTATATATGCTATATAGTTCTGGACTCTGCCATACACCATTTTTTTTTCCTACTAAGTTTTTCTTTAAAGAGAACCCAGTATTTCTGGAAACTGTCTGTCACACTGATTGTCCAAAGTACAGTTCTACTTGCTTATTCTGACCCTTTAGAAAGTCATTGTAGTGTTTAAAAAAGCAAATACTCTTAGATCCTGGATTTTCCACTACTGACAGATTGTGATTTACTGTTTAGTCACAATGAGGCGAAGCTCAAGTATTGCCGGAAGCAGTGGTCGGCAATCTATGATGGCACTGAGAGTGCAGGACAACAACAAGATGGGTCTTCAAACACCTCAGATGTAAGTGTTGCTGATCATATTGCTAAGAAGAGTTAAATAAAACTGACTCTGAAGAGACTTACTGTAGTGTGTTTGGGTGTGTGAGTAGTAACTGAAAAAAAAAACAAAATGGGAACAACAGGAAGAGAACTCCTTGCACCCAAGGATATTTGCACAAGTGCTTCAGTTCTGAAAAAACTTGCTTTAGCCTATTTGTATACTCATGACACATTTCAAATTGTAATGCTTTTTCTTACATATTTCTTAGATGGCTGGGGGGGTGTATAAAATGAATACTTACAAATCTTCTTGCAGAAGTAGTTTTGATAATGGACAAAGAATGCATTAAAATCAGTTGACTTTTCTAAGATGCTGCTATGCTGAAGATGCTTAGGCTTATATGCATGTGTTTGTAGTTTTCTTACATGAACAAAAGATGAAATGGTAGAAATAGTCACTTGATTACTTCTCCCTATCCCTCAGGAAGGACAGAGGTACATTTGGGAAGCTGAGCATGAGCAAACCTACACCTGGAACTTCGGAAAGAAAAGTCAGCTTTTTTGGGAAGAGGTATTGAGAGCTTTAGATGTCAGTACTGTAAATTAAAACAATAACAATCTCACGTAATTTTTCTATCTTGACAGATGTTCATTATAGGGCATAATGGATCTGAGGCCAGGTCTGACCTCCTCCACCCTTTGATCACGAAACAATAAAGCTGAGGAGTAGGAATTGCTTTGAAAGCTGTTCTTCCTCTTGGGAATGATATGCATTGCAGAATTTAAGAGCTCCTCAATATGTTTGCCTATTTAAGGAAGAACAATATCTCCAGTACACTCTGCTTGAGTTTCTTCTTCTCTGTAAAATGCAAACCTTCCAAAATTTTATCATCTTTCAGCTTAGTTCATGGCTTTCAGTGTTCTGATGTCTTGCAGGTATCTTCTTTTATAGGACCACACTGTTGCAGGGATCCATTCCTTTTAAATGTTCCTTAAATATTTTAGCCTTTATTTTCAATTTACATAATTTTTTTTCTTCATCTTTGGGGTATTTTTCTACTCTGTAAAACTTTTCTTCAGTTTATTGAAAGAAATAAATATTCATCTAGGATGCAGTAATCCCTGTGTTGTATGTGTGCATCATGGCTTCCAGGTTGATCTTTTTTCAATCATCCTAAATAAAGAGAAACCTTCAGGCATCCCTTTGCATAACAAATGCAAAAAACCCCATGAAAATAGCAATTGTAGTGACTTAAACAATAAGAGAGTTCTTCTATATATGTATTGTCACAAGAACTGTATTTATTTTTTATTCTTAGAACTAGTGGGGCTGGAGGTTCACGCAACAGTCAGTATGGTGTGTTCGGTACAGAAAAGATCAAGGATCCCAGGCCACTTCATGACAAGGCATTCATCCAACAATGTATCAAGCAGCTTTGTGAGGTAACTTATTAACTTATTCTAAATGAATGTTCTTGGGCATAAAAGATACTAATAAAATTTTTTATTTTTCATGTTTTCAACTTTAGATTTTCTTTAGTGACTAATATGCCATGATTCTTTTTCTCAGTTTCTTGTTGAGAATGGTTATGCCCATAACGTTTCCGTGAAATCACTACAGTCTCCTTCAGTTAAGGACTTTTTAAAAATCTTCACGTTTATCTATGGATTTCTCTGCCCTTCTTATGAGCTGCCTGACTCAAAATTTGAAGAGGAAATTCCCAAAGTTTTTAAGGAGCTTGGGTAAGATCATTATTGTTAGTTTGTTGTGCTAAATAGATATGATACAGCTAGAAATTTAAAAGCTAAGAATTCTGCATGATAGATGAGGAGAATGATTAGGCCAAGGCAAGATGCTAAGCTAATTAGGAAGGAGATAAGGAGTGTATGAAGAAATAGTTTACACTTTTTTGTACGAGGCCTTAATTGTTCCTAATCTTTGGATATGTAAAAAAGTCCGTTTCTTCAATCACTTCTTCAATAGCTAGTGGTTGAGGCAGGTAATTGTCCCACTCTGCACCTCACTGGTGCGGCCCCACCTCAAGTCCTGTGTGCAGTTTTGGGCGCCTCAATATGAAAAAGACATCAAACTATTCAAGTGTGTCCAGAGGAGAGCAACCAAGATGGTGAAAGGTCTGGAGGGCAAGACTTATGAGGAGCAGCTGAGGTCACTTGGTTTGTTCAGCTTGGAGAAGAGAAGACTGACAGGTGACCTCATCACAGTCTGCACCTTCCTCCAGGGGAGCAGTGGAGGGGGAGGTGCTGATCTCCTCCCTCTGGTGACCAGCAATAGGACATGAGGAGATGGAGAGAAGCTGGGTCAGGGGAAGTTCAGATTGGACAACAGGAAAAGGTTCTTCACTGAGAGCGTGGTCTGTCCCTGGAACAGGCTCGCCAGGGAAGGGGTCACAACACCAAGCCTGTCAGAGTTCAGGGAGCATCTGGACGATGCTCTTAGTCGTATGTTTTAGTTTTGGGTAGTCCCGTGAAGAGCAGGGAGTTGGATTCTGTGATCCTTATTGATTCCTTCCAATGCGAGATATTCTATGATTTTATGAATCACAAAATGAGAAACCATGACAATTGAATAAAACAGTGCTGTAAGAACTCAGCTTATCTCCCTTTGATGTACAGTATGAAGTACAACTGAGTTTGTTCTTCCTTCTGTGCCTTGATCTACATGTAAAAATGTGCTGTTTTGTTTTCATCAGTTTGCCACAGCTATTAAAAGTGTATTTTCTTTTGCCTTGTAGGTACCCCTTTCCTTTGTCAAAAAGTTCCATGTACACAGTGGGAGCACCACACACGTGGCCTCAGATCGTGACAGCTTTGGTTTGGTTAATTGATTGTGTTAAGGTAGCATTTGTCATCTTTAAGCCAAATATTTCCACTTTTCAGGCAGGAATGTTAGTTTCAATACAGATCTCTTAAATGCTTTCTAAAAATCTTTGTTTGCCACTTATGTAAAGAAAAAGGTAGGTGTTCCTACCTGCCATCTGGGAGCTAGCCCTCAGCCTTACTTTTAGTAACTCTTAAACTGAGTTTTTAATGTTCTGATAATATTTTTAACTGTGTGCACTGGAGAAATTTGTGTATGAGAAGGGGGGAAATGACAACTTACATAGACATAAAATGTGAAAAGTTAATGGGTGTAATCATATATCTTCAGTGCAGATCTTCTTGTGACATCTGCAGTCTTCTAAATTTGAAGTCTAAGGATGGAATTTTCAATAGCAATTATTCAAGTCTCCTGTGATTGTTGTACAGAGTGTGGGGGAGTGGTTTTGGCTGGGGTTTGTTTGGTTATTTTTTTAAATAGTGGTAACTTTCTGTTGCTGCCAGCTCAAGTCTGAGCAAAATTTGGAATCTGTGACAGAAGTTCACCACTGCTGAATTTGGCACACATGAGAATCCCATCCTTTACACTGAAAAGACACATTTGGCTTAGCAAGGCAATTTGGCAGCATTGAATGTCCAGTTAATGCCTCTTCATCTGTGCTTCTAGCCAACTAAACACAGGCTTATTACCCTGATGGGACTGGTCCCATTCTGAAGCAGCATCATTACACCCTGCTTGCTGAAATCCTAATGCAGTGTTACTCTGCTTATCATCAACATGAAACTAATATGAAAAGTAATGGGGATTTCACACTTGCTCTTTGTATGTACACCTGTCCTTTCAGTTGTATGCTGCCATGAGGGAAAATGCACCATCGTTTGATGATGGACAGAGCTGGGGAGGAGAGACGGATGATGGAATTGTACATAATAAGGTACCATAAAAAGTAAATTATTATCAGAATTGTTCAACTGAATTTTGCCATATGCTGTATCAACACAATTTAAATATATGACACAACAATTTTAACTGTATTTATATATTCTGTTCAGTTTTATATTCACAGAGTTCTCTAGGAAGTGTAGTAGCATTATATAAAAAGCCTGATCAGCTAGTTTTCTGAGCAGGCATCACGACCAGCCTGTTGGTGAGGACTGGGTATTAAATTGAAATGCCTTATTTTCTGAGTTGCTACTGTTTCTGTTCTCCTTTGTGGAGAAAGGGAGTCATTATGCTCTTTGCTTATTGGTTTCGTAGGGTCTCAGGTGTATTTCTCTTTAGCACTTGAATCTTCTAAGGTTAACAGCAGTACAGTGTAAAAACAGTTGCTTAATTGTAAATATGGTGGCTCCTGCTGATATCTACTCAGTTTACCATCTGAGCCACAAAATAGGGTGGTAATGTAATTCAGGCACTTAAAAATCCAGCAGCTTGCTTTCTTTCTAATTTATCATAGATTACTCGTACTATTCAGATTTAAATTAGTGTGAACCCACAGCAGATGTTTGGAAGGGGCTGTATGATGTGCCAGAACATTAAATTAGAAAACTGGAAAAATCAAATTAAATCAGAATTTTGGAATAGGGTTATAAACCTGACAGTTGACAAGTAAAAATGCTTTTAAACTAAATGTGTGATTATACACTGATACATATGCATACATGTTGAAACAAAATTTACAATACTAGTGTAATTCTTCTGAAAGATCTGTAATTTAAAGTCTCCAGTAAATTCTTTTTGGATAACCTTTCTTTCATTCTAGATCAGTTCTCTAACATCTGCACATCTGAAGTATAGTAGTCTTATTTACTGAAGAGGTCTGTTAAACAGACTACAGTTTCCATAAACTAGCCAGAGAGGATCATATGCTTCAAGATAATAAGTTCTTAAATATTGTATCTACTGTCCTTGTTAGGTATCCCAGAAAAATCTATCAACTATTTCCAGACCTTTCTTAATGTGAGTTCTAGATGCCTCCTTCTGTCTGAGTATGATCTGTAGACATTCTGTGTTTAAAGGGAGGAAAAAAAGTTGATTTTTACAGAAGTGCAGTCAAACTGGTGAAAGATTTCTTTGGTGTCTGTTTAATTCCATTGGCTAAGTAGATTTAGGCTATCTAGATATTTTACAGCCCTTTGAATTGTTGAAATGAAAACTTTTAAAATTCTTTTCAGCTTTTCATGGACTATTCTGTGAAGTGCTATGAGCAGTTCATGAAAGGGAGAGATACTTTTGAAGAACTGGATGCAGAAGTGCAGTCAAAATTAAGTAAGTTTTCAAGTTTTAATAAAGTATTTAATTTTGTTACTGGTTTCTTTTTTCCTAACATCAGTTTTGCTCAGTTTACAAGTGAAAGTGATCTGAGGTAAGGGAACCTGAAATACCCAAGTACCTCTCAGTTACTTTGACTTAATTCTCTCTCTAGTACAGACAGACGGGTCATGCTCTGCTGTCAGCTGTACCTGTATAACAACCCTATTGTTTTCAATGGCTTTGTGACAGAAAAGCAGTATATACTTCTTCAGATGCAAATTCCATCTATGCAGATGATTCTTGTTTCTGTCTAACAAAGTTAAACAAAAAAATAAAAATATTACCAGAGGATGCACATCTGATGAATAAGAAAGTTCAGCTTCCAGAAGCTCTGAAAAGAGTCTGCAAGAGCTCCAAACTCAGTTGTGAAGGTTCCCATATATGATTCAGCATGCACCTGTATTTGTCTTCAGGGAGATGGAAAATTATCAATTTTTTTGACTCATTCATTTCATCACCTACAGAAATACAAACAGAATATGCCAACAAGGAGGAAAAATAGTTCTCGCTTTCTGTGCCCTCCTATGAAAAGCCAGACTAAGGATGCTTCTATTGCAAGCTGTAGCAATCAGTTGGAGAGGAAACATAAGCTGCCAGACTTTTACTAGACAGAAAAAGTAATCATGCCATTGTTTGGCAAAGACTGAGGGAAATAAGGGAAAAGATGTCTCGAGAGGCAAGGAAGTATGTGGATGAGAAAGGAATATACAGATCAGGCTTACTTGTGAAGCTGGAACAGATGAAACTTAGCTAACAGCAGCTATCCTACGGTGTGAGCTGTATGACAGCTTGGAAACTCTGACCTCACAGGAGTGATTTTGAACTCTTTTATGACATGAGGACCAAAAAA